GAACATTTGGTATAAGATTGGCAATTCAATAATAATAATAAATTCGCAAGAAGTCCGCATTTATTAATTAAACTTTGGCGAGCTCTATATCAAACACGCGAATGTGTCTTGATCGCGCTTGGTATACGCCGCTTTGATATATTTGATGCCAGACGCAGTCTCCATCCTTAATCCATTGCGAATTCTCCCGAGGATGTTATCTCTCGTATTCGTTACGTGCATTAGTGTGTTTAGTCCAGTCGGAGGCCTTCTAAGGCTGTTACCCCGCGTATTTATTATGTGCACTTCGTGTAACCGCGCGAAAACGGGGTCTAAAATGAAGAGATGTCTATCTACTCCCTCCTTTTTCTCTCTCCCTCTTTCCTCCCCCTCTCTTCTATCTCCACCATCTCTCGACTTCTCTATCTTTTATTCCTTCTCTCTTTTTCTCTCGACATGTTGTTCTCTGTGCATGTTCTCCGTGGTGTAACGTGCACACGATCGTCCCAAGCCGGGTCGCGTGTGAGTGTATAATGTAGGTTGCTGGCACCTTGATGAAGGGTTCGCGTGACGAGTACCCTCTATCCGCCGGTATCCTGTCTCTCTCCTGACCTGCTCGTCCGCACCTCCTATTCCGTGCGGTTCACAGTCCACGGTTACCCACTTAAACGTTGAAAAAAACGCATGGTCGCGACGACGACGATGACGACGGCAACGATAGCGTTCTCCTCGATAGCAGAGCGACCATTTCGCTCTCCGCCGCGTTTCTACAAAAAGCAGTTTAACCGATCGCCATCGATAAATTATAGTGCGGTTCGTTTGACGAGTGAACACCTATTTATAATAAAACGAAGAACATATTGTTCTTTCGCCGAAACTGAACTCGTCAAAGAACGAGATATTCGAAGAAACACAAGGCCGTTTTTACAGTTCAAGGATAATGTACTAAGTTCCACTTGATTGTTTTTCGTACCATTCCTTTTTTCCTTTTCAATTGCAAATCGATTGTTTGTATATCATCTTTTTTTTAAGCTGTCGGAAGATTTGTTCCCTTGTCGGCAAACCTTTGACAATGTTTACCGTTTACAATTTGTACATGTGTCCTCCGTTTCTAGAACAGTTAAAATACAGGACGTAAAGGAAGCGATAAATAAAGGAAAAGAGGAGCGAGAGGGATGGTTTCGAAACGTGGCGAGTGCGAACGTGGGAAAGGAGGAACCCCGGGACGAAGAGCCGAAGGAGTTCACGGTCTCGGCACCCCGTAGGGCCCCAGACAATTCCACCTGATTGGTAGAATCCGAATTCGTATTGTCATTCGGCGGACTGACGTTCAGCTGGGATTTCGTGCCAAGTTGCCTCGTGCTAACGACGCTATTCGTGCATTGCTGCGTTCTTGATATATCGATCGTCGTCGCCCGACCCGAGGACACGGAGAACAGCGACACACCCTGGGATTACTCCGAATTTTTTAAATGAAGCTCCAGTAGCTCATTGTGTCCCCGGGAACCCTTGAAATCGTCTCCCGTACCTAATGCCCAAGGATCCAAACATCAGCTGATTCTATTCGCTTCGAATTGACAAAAGCGTACAGTTTTGTTTCGTCAATGCCACAATTTGTCTCTCCTCGTCGGTCAATTCCACGGTTATTAAACTCAAGTGTCAGAAACCTTATTTGCCAAATATTGCGTATCACGAGCCATTCTCCCCTCAGTATAAGTTTGCACACTCGTGCTCCTCGCGATTAGTTCAGGTAACATTGTAAATAAATCCTAAACTCGATATCGCTTTCCACTTCCCGACGACGATTAACACGGCAGGCGCATGTTTCCCCGCGACGACGACGTCTCAAGGTTGCACGGATTGCGGCGGGTTATATTCTCAGGCGATCATCGCTCCTCCCCGCCCGGGGCTCTCTCGCGGCGCGTTTTGTAATTACGCCGCCGTCCGTCTTATCCGAAATCATCCCGTGCGTACGCGGCTTATCCAATTATCATCTGCTTTCCGCGCGCTGGCGTAAACACACACGCTTCGCGGGCACTGCTATAATGTAGCAGTCCGCCGATCGCGTTCTGAAGTTTCTGCCCACTGGAAGGTGGCCCCTCATCCTCCCGACACCTTTACATTCAACGATAATTACCCGGCTCCCCAAGAGCCGCTAAGTATTTCGTAATTAGAGGCCTGCCGGCTTATCCGAAATCGCACTCTCGATTACAAGCTCGCGCGGCTTATCGATTATCATCTCTACCTCCTGCATAGCGCGCGCGCGAAGCCGCTTACTTTTACCTTCTATACCATACCCTTCCCGATTTCGCTGTTTCTCGCGCGGTTGTATCTTTTATTGCGAACCCCAAGGTAGCGAGAAGCACGTCACGTCAATCAGTCGTGACTTGAGAATATGATTCGAGGCTCATTCGTTACTTCGCAATGATGTTGAAGATCCGGGAAACTCTTGGCCGCATACTGTGGAACCGTGAGACATCGATAATCGCGCGAGTATACTTCGACGAAGACCGCGATCGAACAGATCGCAATGACGAAGTCAAACGAATCAGCCAGCAAATTATCTAACACGTCGCTTTCTCCTCTATCGATAACGTAATAGTACCGCATGTCACGTGTCACATATTGTTGCGCATTGCGGAGGAGGGATCGTAGGCGTTAATAGCAGAGTCGCTGAGCTTATCTAATACATCTAATATCCGAGCGCGCTCTGGACAAACACGACATACGGCGGTACACTCGTACGTTGATCACGTCGGTAACACCTCAAGGTTGCGCTTCGGTAACAGCTACATTTCTATCCGACAAACAGCTCGCGGTACGGTGAGCCGGCGGAGAAGCAAAGAAAGTACACATTTATAGAAAGAATTAACTCGTATGATGCCTTTAGAGCGCAATGGTAGATTTATCAAGGCGGCAATCTGAACGGTCGCTCGAAGCCCCATATATAGCTTCAGGCTTCCGATCACGTAATTTGTTGCTTGACGAGCGATTTAAATGAACGTAAGGATGAAAAAGGAATTTGGGTGGATCTTATCAATGAGGCCTCTTCCTCGGTATTTCAAATGTATGAAATATTTCGAGAGCTGTGGACTCTCTAAGATGTTGCAAGTAGGTTCCACGTAGCCATTCTCGATCGGAAGGCACCTGTTTGCGCAATTCTTGAAGCGCGCCTCGTAATTGCGCACGGCGCGGCTTAACCGCAATCACATTCGCAGTTACAACCGCGTGGCTTATCGGATTATCGTCTACTTTCTGCACCGCATAAATATATACCATATAACGTCGCTGGTACACGTCGCGTTACAAACCTCGCGCTACGCGAAGCAAAACGCTGCGTAAAATAAAACGGTGGTGTCCAGCGGAGCGGATGATTAATACACGCTTAATTATAATTAAAATGCGCGGGCTAAGTGAATTAAACGAGACGCTCCGCAAAAATCGAGTTATAAAAAGATTGCGATTGGCGCAGAAATTTTGTCAGGTCCATAAATCCAGGTGGTTTTAAATTAACTCTCTATTATAGAATATTAGCGAAAGAGAATATTGGAATCGAATACTGATAATTGAAGATGATTACCAGAAATAATATTAGGAGTTGCAGCTAAAAAAGTACATTAATTTCTGTATAAGTAACTAATATTGATTTAATATCTCAATACTTAAACGTCTAAATTAATGGACGGTAATCTCCCGCAAACATTCGGAATGTTTCTTCATCGCGACTGAGAATAACGCTTTCTGGGCACTTGTTATTAATAATAATAATCGAAGTGCGCGTCCGTTTCGCAAGCACTTCGACGCCGGCGAGCGAAAGATGTGGTCTGTCCGGTGCGCGCGGTATTTCGCAATTAGCTGGGAAGCTTATCGCGATCGCAGCATCTCCGAGGTGGTTGTTTCTAAAGAACGGAGTCCCGGCGTTCCGCGGGTCCTCGATCGCGATCGCGAACTTCGGGCGATAATGCGGCGCATCGATCATCGCGGTAGCGCCTCGAGGTTGTACGCGCACATTGCACGCACCGTCGGGACAGCCGATGGTTAGCTCTTTCTCTCTCTCGACTAACCCTGTGCCCGTGCGCACACGAATATCTCATAATTCCGACCGTGGTCACGCATCCCGGCCGCAGCTGCGGCTCGCCGGCCGAAACTTTATTAGCATACCTATAAAAATGCGCGCGTCCGCGCGTAAACGGGCGCGATAAATTACATTTGAAACTCCCTTAAATATCTCGTAAAACGTCAGTCAATGAAATCCATTAGTTCAGGTATATACGCTGACGTAGTTGGTCGCTGCCCTGCGTGCTACCGACAACGTCTCGGCGTCCGACGAGCTCTTGCCCGCGTCTTTTCCCGCTATTTGCTCGCGAATTAAAAGCGTCGCGGTCTTTAAATACGGCCGATTAACGAGCGTGCGAATATGGAGTCGCGTTACGATATCGTAAAGATAATTACCGATGAATGGCGAAGTTGAAGGAGCGAGACCTTCCCCCTTCCCCCCGGGTACCTTTCTGTTCTGTCCGCGTCAAAAATACAATCTGTCCTGTCTGCAGCCTCTCTGAGACTGATCCCATTAATTTACAAAAAAAGTTCCTTGCGATTACATATTTATTTGTAGGTAAGTTGCTGAGTATGTATCAAGATAATCGATAAGCCTTCGTACAGATAAAATTATATTATAAATAATACACATAAGATTTATTTAGTAAAATTAAAAAAAAACGGAAATTTTTGTAAAATGGATAAATTACATTATTCTCAATATTTTCGTGGAATTCGCTGCGATCCCTTATGAAACGTGAAGTGCTCAAATTATTAACTTTATTCGAAATAGTTAGGAAAAAGATGGAAACAAAAAACTTTGTGAAAAGTACCCCTGTTACCTTCAACGATTATTCGTCCTATATCCAACGACTCGAATTCGCTCTACTCACTTAGCACGGCACGTTACAAGTTCTTCGAACGCGCACCGGAACCTTTTCCCGATATACTCTCGCATCTCTCGATCGACATGCGTCACTTACCGGCCGGTCTTCGTGATGATCATCTCCGTGCCGAGTTCGTTGAACTTGTCCCAGAGATCCTTGGTCTCGAGTTGGCACTCGACGTCACGCAGCTCGTCGGAGTTGCAGCTGGTCCTTAGACGTTGCTTCTTCTCGTCCGTATTGCAGGCGCCGTCCGCGCTGCGTTTCCGCGAGGGCGTGCTAACCCCGGCGAGATCGTCGGCCAACACCCCGTGGACCGGCCCGTCGTCGACGCTGCTGCACTCCTCCACGTCAACGTCCCCATCCTCGTCCTCCTCGTTCGCGGACTTCTCGGTGCTCTCGCTTCCGCCCTCGCAGTTTTCAGCCTCCTCGTCGCCCAAGAGGGCCTCCTCCGTCACCACTGTCGCCGTCGCGACGATGTTCACCGGCGAGGTTTGAACACCTGCGATACAAGATCCCCTATTTATCGCGTTTAAACATGTTACCAACGTGCAATCTCGTAATAAGAATTACGATTTACGAGAAACCTATTATTAGCATTAATTAAGTAATATATTATTCATTTGTCATTAAAATATAGTTCACAAGCAATTTTAATTTCCATCGTAATTATAATATTGATCATAAGTCGTCTGTCTCTGATTAAAACTTTCGTCCAGTGGACGATTCCAGCAAGATTATGTCTCGAGCCGTGTCGGAGCTCCGATGGGAGCTTATTGAGTCGAGATTTATCGCGAAATAACGGCGTCAACCATCGCGACCGTCGCGCAAGACGCGGAAAGGAAATCCCCGAAGCAGGCGCGCGATTATCGCGAACCGCGTCGATTTAAATGAGCGAGATGAGCCCGAACGATATATCGGGGGGCCGCCGCCTGTTTAATTAATCGACCGGGCCCCGCATCTGCCACAAGGTGGTGGCCGGCGCCTAATTAAACCGTCAGATTTTCAAGAAAGCCGATCCGCCGGTCGTGCCGGTGTGTACACAATGTTAATTGCGCCGGGCCCGCGATATCGATCTGTTAATTTGTACTATTCCGCGCGAACAATGCGTCTTCCGGCGCGCGTTTATCTCAAATTGGATCCGCCGCCCGGCCGCGTTGTTCGCGAGTGCGTACACGCACGTGCGGTAGTACATACGGGAAAATTTATCGACGCGGTTGTCGTCGACGAGAAACGAACCGTTGATCGCCACAACACGGCTCTTCTCTCTTCCGCGCAAACCTGCCTGTCCTGAAAAGACTATTACGGGCCCCGTATTCGTATTTTCATTTAGCTACCGCGCTAGATACGACTGTCCGATACGGGGAATTTATTCGCTTAATGTGAAAATGGCGTATCGGAGGGTTGAGGAGGAACTGACAGCCGTATTTAGTACTGAACTCGCGAACCCGAACCTTGCTCGCCTAGTATCAAGATAGCATTCAATGTTAACGCGGCGTAAGACACAATAAATATCTCTGAAATATTTTTGAAAGGGGGAAGGAGGATAATTATCCCGCGATACAAGGTATGCCCCGTGATCGTTTTATGAAGATGGTTCCCCGATAAAAAAAAAACGGGGAATATCCGAGTCTCTTTCGTTTCCGGGGAGAACGACTCTGCGCGCTAACGACTTAATGAATCGCCGGGCGCGCTTCTTCCCGCTTCGCTGAGACGGGAAACGGAGAGGCGAGTTTCTGCTTTTCAGTGGGATAATCCAACAGCCTCTGCTCCGCATAGCTCGTCAAATCAGAAAACGCGGTGACGATCGCTCGTCAATCGCGGCGGACACTAATTCGACGTGTTGCTTCCCGTTTTCTTTCTGGCTTCTGGTCACACACCACGGTCACCACGTTGACACTTCATCGCTTCTCCCCTCGTCGCGCTCAAACCGGTTCCGTTAAATTTTCGATGATAATGGCGACGACGACGACGACGACGACGACGACGACGACGACGCGCATTCAACGATGCGATTACTTTCGCCGTTTCGTACATCGCGTTGCGCGCAAACTTAGCAATTTGCGTTCCGTTTAGGCGAAACGAGTTGTCTTACGGCCTTTATCGCCCACTGCCGGATTTCTTAATCCGCCTCAGGATGATCTTTCCTCGCTACTTGAAATTCGTAGAAAACCATATATTTGACAGAGCTTTATATATTATCTTAATTCCGAAATATGAGAATCGTTTAAATTTCAATTTTTTCCAAGACAACTCTTGACAGTTTAAGCGAGTAAAAATATGGTAGTTTTAAAGAGAGAACGAAATTCGTGAAAAAAACTCAATGTTAAAGAACGCTTTTAACGCTTCAAGGTATTGGAGTTCTTGGTTAACAGTTAATCATATTTAATCCGTAAAAATGGAGGAAGCGTTTTTTTTTTGTCAGAACTACTTACGCTTAACATATACATATTTTTATTATTTAAATATATCTACATATGCGTCTTGAAAAAAAGAGGAAAATAAATTGATCGATTTAATCAATTAATCTTGCAATCACAATTATGAAGAACCTTGAGAAAATGTAGGTACTGCTATGTAAATTTGAAAAAGAATTACAAGAATTGCAAGGCGTAATGGGTTGAAGCAAGGTGTCGGAGCGAGGAATCACAAGTTGAGTAGATCTGGCTGGAGCACATGCGTAGAGCAGATAATAATGCACCGTTTCAGTTAGAGATACTTTTGCTGCTACTTCATTGGCACCGTGTATTTGAATAATGAGTTCGTTGCGCTCACACAATTCCCGCGACACTTGCTTCGACTTCTTAGAGTATAACTGATACTGAATTCGATCGCTCATATTCATACGAGAAGCACAGCAAGACTGAGCCCGCTGACTCCGAATTCCAAACGGAAGACATCGGCGCGATGCCCGTATTGGCTGCCGATTCCGCGACCGCACGTGTCACGCTCCGCGACCGTGTCAAAATGAACGGGGTCACGCGGCTAGCACGATAATACACGAAAGTAATATGAACTTAAGAGAAACGAAAATAAATATGAATTTGAACCATAGTCGTTACACATTAGTAACATAAATAGAATCATGAACATCTAACAATAAAATATAACTGCTTACTGATCTTGTTCATAGAACAATGAAATATGAATACATAAATTCTTAGTCAATCCTGAACACCGAGCAATTAAACAGAGCACTAGGTTCGCGTATGTGGAATATTTTGCAGAATATATGCCCGAGTTAAACGCGCGAAATTCGACCTCGAGAGCGACGCGAATTGCTGGTAGCGCTAGCAGAGGCGAAGCGCGCCTTGAACGCGCGCCCCGTAGTTACGCGCATCGCGTGCTCTGCTCGCGCGTTGCGTGCGCGCACATCTGCGTGTACGCACGCATGCACGCACTCGCGCGTTCACGCACACACGCTGCCGGCTAATAATAATGCGCTGCGGAGGCCACGTCTGTAGTTCGCGTCGCGAGGCACGCGTGTCACGTCGCCTCGCGAGTTACGTGTAAAGAGGCGCCTGAGCGAGCGAGCGTAAGCGTATACACAAATACACATACGCGCTCATCTACGCGTTTCCTCTTCTTTTTCTCACAGGATTTCGAAGTCGCTCGGTTTCTTCTCATTGAGCCATCGCCGCGTTGCCGAGTTCTGCTCAGTTCTCGGGCAAGAAGTTCTCGCGCGCGAGAACAGCCGGTGGACGCGCGCGCTCGATAGGGGGAAAAAAGGAGCCCGGTGTGTTAAAATTAACACCTCGACACGCGCGTCTCTCGCGTGAGTCGCGAATACGTCGTCGTCGTCGACCTTCCGCGACGTCACGCACGGCGAAATTGCACGGACGTGGCATCTTGCCGCGACGTCGTTAATTTGCGAACAATCGGCTTTCCGGCTGAAAATCTAGCTATGCCAGCGACGACACGTTCACCAACTCCGTTTTTCCAGGAAAGAGATACATAGACAGATAAGATAGATAGAGATATAAAAAGTACTGCGTGAAAACAGCAGCGGCACGCTATTGTAATAATTGATAAAGAAATTTCTTGAGAAAACGCAGCGTCCGATACCTAAAAGAATTTTTAGAAGTATCATTAAAATTATGTAAATATATCCAATATTTTCCCTTGCACATTAATACTTTATTAATGGTCGTCTTTAGATGTAAATATTGTGTAAGCTTCTAATTCCATAATTACAAAAAACACCAATTTATACAGCACAAATTAATGCAGTTTATTCTAATTTAGTTTATTCAATTTAGTAAAAAATACTAACTAAATATGTTAAACTAGCCAATCTCTCTAGTCACGCCGTTTGATTCTTTCTCTCTCACAACAATATTCCTCCTTTTTCCAAATCGTTTGAGCTCACGTGACTTTCGTGTCTCGCTAGAATCTAAAGAGAAACTATTCAAAACAAATAAATACTAGCCCTTGTCTCCCTGCGTTATTCGCAAGATGCTAGCCAGACTGTGTATACAATTCGTGGTGATTCACGCTCTTTGATTTTGTACAAAAAAAATCGCATTATTGACACATAAATTCGCACGAATTTTAAAGGCGACAATAAAGAACTCGACGAATGTGTCTAGTCATACTGTTCGTAAATCTCATATGAATAGCACGAGTTGTTTTAAGCCATGAATTGTGCATAGGTGCTAGCTTTATTATTGTTCCAAATGACCTACATATTTCGTCTTCCCCCTCGACTCATTCATTTCTCCAGCATTAAGAAAAACGAAAAGCGTGGCAAACGAAAGGCGCTGGAAAGCCATATAGCGTGAAAAACAGGTACGTCCGATGGCGACTTAAAGTGTGCCTGAATGTGACATAGGCGGATATAAGGCAACATCACGGGGCAGGATAAAAGCTCGACCGGAAGCTTACCAGGCAAATATACAGAAGGAGTTGCACCGAGAGTGAGAGAGAGAGAGAGGGGGGAAGCGGGAGGAGCGGTAACACAATGTGTGCGTGAGCGCGCGTGCGC